AAGCCAAGTTGTCTGTTTTACACTCCCGACACAGGCTGTCTTACAGTATCCTGGCTTTGCACTTGTGACATGGCAAAGTCAGGTTCATGATGATTTATTTTAGCAGCTATTAACTATAGAACTGTCTGTAATCACCAGAGCTGGCTGCATTTCTCCATCAGCTTCAGCACTGGCATGAGTCAGTACTGGCAGTTCCCTAGCTCTGTGCTGGTGTCTGAGGTAAGAGCCCGGAACGTTTCACTACACCATGAAGTTGCAATAAAATTGCTACATAGAGAATATAATTCAGTGCTGACAAGGAGCGATATTTTCATTTCTGTGTCACTAGCTGTAAGCAGCTGGATGCTGCAGGCACCTGTTGGGAACAGCTTTCTACCCAGTATCCCACAGCCTGACTGCTGCTTTGCAGGGTGACCAGCCCTTCACAAATGCCTGCAGTGTACATCTGGTTGTTCAAGGAAATTGTCCTCATTTGAATCTCTAATCTAATATCTCTGTAATACTGAGGGTCTTTACTGGATCCAGCTTTCCAGTTTCTAGTATAATACAGCAGTAACAGCATATCTGTATTTTGCTCCATGTTGGTAGTGGACAATGTAGTCGATCAGCCGAATGCAGTGCTGGTGCAGGAGCTAACACTGATCAAAGCCTTTACGCACTTCTCGATCCAAATCAATGTGCTTGAATTACATGCTACACTTGTTTTCCAACAATAAAAAATATACATAACAGCATCTATGAAGAAACAGTACTTGAACATTCATATGGCTTTTTACACTGACTTTTATTTCCTAGGTCACCAAAAATATTGACCAAAACCCCCAAAGCCAGTGCCATGGATGCAGTTGTATCTTGGGTTGCCTGACTCCATTTGAGGAGACTTAGAATAGCTGTAGGGCAGCACTGAGGGTGAGCAGTACTGCTCTCTAGGGTTATCTCTAAATTTGAGACTGAAGAGAAGGATCTACAGAAATTTAATAAAAAGGGAACAGTGATTAATAAGTGCAAAACTAATGGATTCAATCATGAATTAGAGGGATAAGTCAAAATTAAATCATAGAATCATACAATAGTTAGGGTTGGAAAGGATTTCTTCTGTTAAAAAAGAAACATAAAAACACAACAAAGTGCCACTAAATCCTCACTGTAATCACCTATCAGTGTGTTAAAGGCATTGCTAATTGTGCAGTGCCCTTCTCCTCAGATCTGGACATCGAATTTCCACTGACATGCCTGTCACACCTTGTCACACTAAGCACTAAGCCCTCTGTTTCTCCTCCATTCCCCACTTAAGTCCTCACTTAACAAGACCTGGCTTGTTAAGAGTAAAGGACTGTTTCATGGGGAGGGACTGCAGGAACCTCCTCAGCAGTTTTTGAGAGGAGTAGATGTGCAGTTCTGCCCTGCTCACCCTTCTAAAGCTTCCTCCTGCTTCATCTCCCAGGCTTGGTCTCACTTAGGCAGGAACCCTCTCTTAACTTGATCTTACTAGAGAACACAAGTTTGACCACATAATAATACTTATATAAATGAAGTCTTCAATTAAGTCTCTCTAAAATAATATCTCAAAATATAAACAATATTTTTTTCTAGCTTATTGACAAAGTGATAAAGAAATGACACAGTGAAAGGTATTAATAATTTAAGCTAGTATTTCTCATTTCTATTAAATTGTTAAACTATAAATACTCCTTATTTTTAGTAAACTCTGTTGCAATTTGTAGCTAAAAAAAAACCTCAGAAACAAGCTGTACAGAAAAAATACCATGGAATTCAAGAGGAAGCACAGAAATTTGGGAAGGGATCAAGGCATAAACAAAAACATGAAATGGAAATGAGCATCCAAACCAGCAAAATATATTTAAGTGGTATCACAAATACACACAACACCCCCCTCCCCCCCATTTACAGATCTAAAATCAGTACATCCAGTAAAAACCCTCCCACAGAAAGATATTCACAAAGAAGAAAATTAACCCAGTTACATTGTCTACTGCTGGCAACTGAAGTGCTTTTCAACTAGTGTAGCATTAGTTATGGCTTTGTAAAACAAAGGGAAAATTTCATAGAGGTGAAATAATTTCTGGGAAAAACTTTAAAGTGAAGGCTGGACAACAACAATCACAAAGCAAACAAAGCATAAGGAACTGCAAATATGTAACTCTGGCAGTGCAAAGATGAAGAAGAATGGCTGTTTTCCCCCAATACTTGTTCAGAGAAAAATACTGCTGTGAATTCATAATCTGAATTCCTTTCAAAGACTTACATTTGTAGGACTCAGTGCAGTTGCATGTTTTAGCAAGGCTGATAATATAGAGAAGGTAAATGAAATAAAGTCAACATAAAATTACTACTGTGATATAAATTTATAACAACCTTTATAACAAAATATCTGAATATACAGTACAGAGACAAGCCTCTCAAAAAAGTTCATAATTTCTCCATCCAGACAATCTGTAAGCATGTTACCACTAAACAACATGCATGTAACTGATAGCAGGTGTAACATTCTTTGGAATTAGATTTAAATTTCTTTCAGGTGTTGCCCTGTACTTCATACAGGGAACAGCAGAGGGATAACTCCCCACTCCTCACTAGGATTAGGAGCTCCTCAGGTGGTGCTCGGGGCTGGGCAGAGGCCCCCAGAGGTGCATGAGCACCTGGAGATGGAGAAAAACTCCACGTGGGAACGTGGGTCACAGGAGGATGCCTTGATATTAGTCAGTGTAAGAGTAGGGAATTAGTGCTGTTGAATTCCTGAGGCTCAGTGTCCCACAGCCCTGTTTGTTTTGTTTTGTTTTTTTTTTGTTTTGAAACACACAAGACAGTCTCTTTGTCCAAAAAGGCTTCATAGTTTAAATGACTGTAAACATTTCTTTTAGTTTAAATTAGCATTTTCACCATGCCTTTGCTGTTTAAAAAAATAAGAGATTCAAAAGTAGGAACACTTCAGCACACACTGAAACTATTTCAAATTCAGAAAACTGGAGTTCTTTAATTGAGAAAACGGAAACAAATCTGCAAACACGTGATTAGTTTTGCAAATAATCTTTCTGCTGTATTTTTAGCTGGCTCTATCTAACTTTCAGTCTTTGCAAAATAAAGGGAAACTCATGAGCAAGCTGCAAACCATTTAATAAACAGAGACAAATGGTCAGCATCAACTGCTGATTTTGTCCTGCCCAAACCTAGGCCCACAGGGGCACTGCCGATCCCAGGACAGGTCAGGAGTCCCACGCTTCTCCTGTTCCCATTGATGTACAAAAAGAAAGATATTGATAATGTCCATAAAAACTTAGCAATAGCGGGTACAGAGTAAGATTTACCCATTATAATTATCAGGGTGTGTTATGGTTGATCTGTGGCCGATCTTGACTTTCAAATGTCCCCAGGGTGACTATTAGGTATTATGGTGCTGCTTTACAGGGACTCTGCTAAAAATTTCTAGTTGTTCAGTTGGAAATGTTTATCTGATGAACTTTTACTGCAGTAGCAGCCAAAGTAACAGTGATTTTACAACCCAAATTATTGCTTTATGTAATACTTTTTTTCTCTATACTCAAGGGCTGTTGACCAGAAATGGCTGAAAATGACTTCTGCAGAGGAGACAATGTGGCTCTCCTGCAACCCAATGGATGCTCATTCAACCTGACTTCAAGTATCCAATTTACGTGCTTGAACATGTGGAGCCTGTGTACCCAGCCCAGGCTCCAGAGGATGACTTGGAACAGAAGTGCTCTAAGCTTATTCAACAGACATAAAGGACTTGTCTGCTTGACCTTTGGGATATGAAAGCAAAACCAAAACAAATCTAATAGGCACAACCACAGGAAAATTATTTCTAAAACAGAGATAAAATGAGTCATCCCCTTGAAATACTTCTCTTTGTTAATGAGCAGTAGAGCATTTCTGGTACTATGCATGGATTCAGATGTCTAGCTTTCAGACATCTGAATTTAAATGAGATGACTCTTATCTCAGGTTTCCACATTAGGAGCTTAAGTTTGATACCTGAAGTTAGATAGTACAAGTACTACCCTCTGTCCTTACTGAGACCAGCCACCTCCTGAATTCAGGACAAGCTGCAATCACAGCATTTACTTATGAGAAGATCCAATGGAACTGAGCCTTGGTAGGACATCTCCTTTCTAATCTCTCAATCCCCTTTTCACTTTATGGAAGGGAATGGAGAAAGGCAAAGAGGGATAGCGGATGGTATCTTGCTAAACAAAGTTGTGTACTACACACTAATGAAGAAACTTAGTGGCTGTCATTTGTAAATCCTACAAAATCACCATTTTTAAGTTGGTGGGTGCAAATTACTCTGGCTATTGCAGATCTCAATTTAATCACACCTTTTATTTTCAGGAGTTACTAACAGTTATCAGTGTTAGAAGATTCTTTAACTTAGCTGGCTAAAAAGTTCAAATGGAATTAGAAAAACTCTTGATGGTGAAGTCTTGAAGAGCTCCTAAAGTATTTTAATATATTTTAATAAAAAAATAATAGCAAGTTGTAATTTAGACACCTACCAGCTAATGCCTAACATTTTTATTAAAATACTGATAGAAATGTAAAGTAAACTCTAGGTATACTGGATTGCACACGCCCCACCACAAACTGTACTGACTTAGCTGCTTGTTTCACTTCTTATTTTCTGTACTTGAGAAAATGAGACCAGAATGCTATGCAGCTTCTCTGACTGAAGAGGAAAGGCTGGGACAAGATTTCTCAAGTTCCATCCAGCTCTGTAAATGGGAAGATTAAAATTAGGACCTTGTGGCTGGGAGAAGAGAGTGGAGGAATACTCAGGATTCCCTCCTGTCCTAAGGGCATAATACATTCCTGACAAACTTTGTTCATGGTTTAAATAGATAATGAACTCATCAGTCAAATCGTGTAGTCAGCATTTTACAGAGTCAAGGTCTTAGGCACAGCCAAGACTTCAGATAAGCATGGAAGCAAGGCAACATCTGCATTTCCATTTTTAACCTATGGACTATTTTCTTTGTTAAACTCCTTGGGTTTTGTTTTGTTTTTGATTTTTTTCAGGGTAGCTTTTCAAAACACAAACTAATAACAGCCCAGGAAGGAAAAGCCAGAACCACCTTAACAGGTGAGGGAAAAACTCTCGGTGCACTTTTTATTCCACGTATGAGATAACTACTAGGAATATTAGAAGAAAAATAATAAAAAAAGCTCACCAGCAAGATACTGAACTTCGAAAGTAAAACTGAAAGTTTCTGAAACTGCACTTCAGCAAACATTGTCCCAGCAGTGCCAGAACGTTAGAGGACTGTCCAATTTCCTTTTTTTCTGTGGTAAATTTCCACAGATGCAGCAGAGAACTGAGGCAGGGGCTAAAGGTGTAAAGGCAAATGAAACTAAAGATTCTTGGTAGCTACTTACCTAAATGGCTATTCATTTTTCTATTTTTTTTGGCTCAGTGCTGTTTTGTAATACCCCTGATTGCACCATATAATTTCAAGCACATATAAATTGATTTGAGTATTAGCTTGATTCCTTTCCTGTATTTGAGCCTTACAGTGGATATAAATGACAAAAAAGCATGCTGTAACATTCACAGGAGTTGTTGTCCATCAAACTGATGACTCCGAACAAAGGCTGCTTTAAGTAACATCTATGAACACGTGAACTGTCTCCAAAATGCATGGTCATATTAAATAAGCCTCTTACGTACATACATACAGACCCGCAACAAAAATCAAATACCTTAGTCTGACCCTCTTCTGTTTAAGACTGCAGTTTCTAACTGTTGCATATACTGTAGCTGCTCAAAGAGCTGAGTAAAGTGAGTATAGCAGACTTTTTCAGAGAAAAATACTCATATAAAAAGTTGTAAGTACAGTACAGTGAGAAAGTTCCCAGAGCTCTCACTTCATTTTCTCTTTGGTTGCTAATTAGGATTTGACGAGTTTGAAACCCTGTCCAGTGTCCAGCACTGTGGGAAGAAACCAGCTCATTTTCAGTCTTTTCAAGCACCTAAAGCACGCTTTACAGACCCAGAACAGATTGAGACCACAAAACCAGTTTGCCAAATGTACTAAGGGATAGGTGATGCGTGGGAAGTATATCATCCAGTGTTTGGCAACATCGCTTCCTGTTGGCAAATGCAAAGTGTAGTCACTCCAGTGTTTTGACACACCATACACTGCTTTCACTGTACGTCCCTTTTCAGACCAGCTGATGTTGCTGTCAGGATTACAGTTGTACTCAACCCACTGCCTGGTGAAGTCACCAAGCTGTGGAAGGTCTGCTTCCTCAATGTCTACAACTCTGGCCATTTCTGCTCCTTGCACAGCAATATACTGGTCATTTACTTTTCTTACTTGTTTAACCCAAGGCTGAGAGTTCTCACAGTCTAAAACGATGATGAGTCGAGAACAGAAAGTACCGTTCTTTTCTCTCCACCAGTCCAACAGTGTGTCCAGTCGTAAAGCATCACCCCCTGTCACATGGGAAAAAAGATTTCATATCAGGACAAAGAAACATAACCCTCTCTGCAATTCTGACTGTGGATATTTTAACAACCTGGACAGATATAACAGAAGTTTTCAACTGATCCTCCCCATCTACAGATATTGCAGATCTCCAGGGAAGTACTAACTGATTCCACCTGACTTGCTGTGGCAGATGACTCACCCTTGGTTAAAATAAAAAGGAATTTCCTCACATAGTGAAGGAAATTGAAGCCTATTGGAGGAATCTGGAAATAGCTAAACAAGAAGAGAAAACCAGAAATAGATTATTATTATTATTAATAATTTTAAGAAGAGAAAAAAGTTCCTTTCAGTATGTTTTTATTAATATTAAAAAGGACTCCTCTTTTAAGGAAAAGAGAGGACTTTTGAACACAATGCATGCTAGCAGTTTTGAAGCACAAGAAGAAAGCCACCTACAGGCACAACCACTGGTTTGACTTGAAAAATTCTCCAGAAATGGAGAGATTTTACTCTACAGACACAGCTATCTTCAGAGCTTCAAGAAAATTAAAACTGGTATGGATTTACAGCTCAATGAAGTAAAAACCTCATAGGACTTTTCCCCACAATATTTATTTCCTGTCAGCTCAGAAAACACTTGCAACTAGAGCATCCAACTTCTCGTGTTCCATCTCAGCTCTTGCTCTGACAATGCTTTGGAAGATCAGACTGTAATTAATCCAAGTTACCTACAGTGGGGACATATATACTTCTGCTTAAGTGTAATGGATACTGCAGGATCTATGTAGCTTTGAAAAGCAGACTACTTACTCAAGTGCTTAAGGAAAACATCTTGCAAACAAGTGGATAAATCTCCACTGGCTCTGTAGTGACTATTAATGTGAAGAGCTGTTGGCAATTTGGAGCTATGATACAGATTTACGATGAAAACACTCTAGTTTGGAAATGCCAAATTTTAAAAAAAGTATGACTTTTAGAAGAAAGGGAGAAAAATGTGATTTAAAATAACTGCATTTTAATTCCACAGTGATTTTCACTGTGGAATGTAAGTACATTTAGCAGTCTTTAAAATCTTCTTGGTAGGAATTTAACTGCACAGATGAATCTCAAATGAATAACTGCGTATTTCAGCACTTACGTTTTTACCTGTAAGTGGTGACAAAAAGTGCTTCAAATTAACAGAGTTAAAGCTTTCAGCATGCCATTGCAGTTAAAGTAAAAGCAAAATTAAAGGGCAACAACTTTCTCAAAAAATTGGAAAGTTTAGTACCAAGGAGAATCTTAATATAAAAACCTACAGTCTTGGTATGTGATCCCCAAATTGCTGTAGTTATTTACAGCAGAGACTTCTATAGAAGCATTTTCCCTTTTCTAGGTAAGCCTTCTGTGTCAATTACCAGCAAAATGTCTTTATTTATTCACGTTTAAAAGACTTATAAATAAATGTTATTTTAGTGTATATAGCAGTGCAGGTGATTTTAAATGGTACTGGATAGAACTGCCCAAAGAAAACCATCTCATCCTCCATGCACACATGCTTAGCTACTAACCCTAGTGATCATAAACACATGCACTTACCAGCCAGTGCAAGGTTTAGGCACCAAACTGTTAAGAAATCCATGTGCCTGGCCACAACTGGCTCTTTGACAGGTTTTGCAGGCTGTTAAGCCGACAGTTTCAGCAATAGAGATAAAGCTTCATTAGTCCATCTCTTGCCTTTGCTTTCACTCAGAGAACATGACCTCCAAGGTCATTTGATTGCTCATACTTTATGCAATGACTAGTTAACAGCTTTTTTATACACCACTGTGGTACATCCCAGCTTCCAACACCAGATAAACATCATTAGTGAACAAATAAATCCAGCAAGCTTCATTCAAAAGATGTTATTACAAAGCAAAGCCTACACCGCTACTGCTGTGCCGTATCATGACATAAGCGGGCAACGAGACACTACTTCTATTAGATCCAAATGTTTTATTTCATTGTTTCCACCTCTCTTTATCCTCTCCAGAGGTCAGAGGACAGTACACATTATGGGAGCTGATAACTGAATGTTCCATCTGTCACAGAATGCCACTGTCCAATATATACAGTACAATTACACAATCAGACAGACATCGTCTTTTCAGTTTATACTTCAAGTTACATTCAGGAGCAGTGCTACCTGGAAGGATTACCATGATTGATCTAAAATTATTCACAAAAAAGGATCCAAGGCATGTGATAGCTGCCTCTTCCTCTCCTTTACGTGACTATACATATCTCGAAGTAGAATCTGAAGATGTGCTTGGACAGAGAACTGAAAAGGAGCTTTGTAAGAAAGCTGACCAGCATTGCATTTACACACTGCATATTTTACTACAGAAACTTTCGCATAACGGTTACCTCAGCCCTTATTCTAAAAGTGAAGACAGAGTTTATTTTAGGCTACAGCTACCTGAGCACATACACAGAGACCTGTCACACTCCAGGCAGGACAGACAAGGCAGGACTGGTCTGGAAGCTGTCCAATTTCTGCAGCATTTGGCTCTATATATGCTAGAAAGCTAACTGTATCTATGCTGTCAGCTGGAGCATGGGTGGGAGGTAGAGGTTTGCTGCTAGGTATATAGTCTCCAGATGAAAACTGCCCTGCGCCTGAACACCTCAGCATGACCACATGCAAAGCCAATAACCATCTACACTGTTGAAGAGCACATGTGCCTAGAGAGAGACTGCTGACAAACAGCCAGGAGCTCACAGGCAGAGCAGCATCCAATTAATTCTGCCCCAGGAAGAAAAATGTTGTAAATTTTCAATGTATTTACTATAAGATTAACTTTTTGCATGCACCTTCAGAAGCCTGGTTCCATACAGTAGGAAAGCAAGGCTATAGCTACGCAGGATTTGAGGACTTCAGTAGGTTTACCAAAGAATACAGTTGAGAGAGAACTACCCATTATACAGACAGATTAAAAACAGACCAAGAAAAGGGGAAATGGGTCTATGCCATGACGAGGCTTAAACCGGCCCTTTATACAGGGATCTGTAGTCTGTGCCCACAGTGACTCCCAACCTGTAGGATGTCAGCAAATCATAGCTGTTTTCACAATACAAGGTTTGCTGTAGGTGTTAAGACCTGCTTTTCTAGTGTGGATTGTGTACCTGCCTCCTATTTCTTTTACTGAATCTGTCTTTTACAAAAAGTACAGAGCACCCTCATGACAGCTTAACTGACACTGTGAACACAGAACACTGTATAACTCACTGCCATGTCCAGGGAATGAAATTATGCTTGCTTATTACAGGGAACGAATATTCCTCAAAATACAAAAGAAATCACAGAATCATAGAATGGTTTGGATCGGAAGGGATGGTAAAGATCACCTAGTTCCAAATGCTTGCTATGGGCAGGAACACCTTCTACTTAGACCAGGTTGCTCAAAGTCCCATCCAACCTGGTTCTGAACACTTCCAGGGATGGGGCATCCACAACTTTGCCAGGTAATCAATCTAGTTCTCTAAATCTGTTTTTAGAGCAGGAGGGTCACTACCAATTTTCTACAAAAAAGTGATCTTGTTGAATTGTAAGGGGAGTATGAAATCAAGTTTAAACTTGTAAGCAGACATGTGGAGTCAGCAATATTTAGACAATTTTTAGAACAAGCGTAAGATTAGTTAGCTGCAAAAGGTTTTTTAACAAAGTGACTAAGTACCAAAATAACACAGAAGTTCATGAATTACCCACTCTCCAAAGACTGGTGGTTTTTTTGCCATTCTGGATTATCAGATAATAAATCTGACCAAAACTTCAAAATTCTGCAATACAGTATGGTTTTTCTCAGCGCAAATTAAGTGATTTGGAAAGTTTATCAATACCAAAACTATTAATAAAAAAAAATCCACAAATGAGTTACCTGCCAAGGCCCATTCACCAGTGCCATGTGAGTGACCACTGTAGTATAAAATGTAGGTATCATGTCTGGGTCCATCTGATGTCCGAAGTTCAAGGAAAGACTTGATCTTGGAGTGAAGGGTATCAAAGGTCAGTCCGCTTGTAGAGTAGTCACAACCGTATGTCTCAATCATGTGATATGCAAAAAATCTTTGGATGGCATTAAGCATGCCAGTAGACCTCAGATTTAACTCTTGTACGTGCTCAGGTGGAAGAAGAGTTGGTTGGCCATCAGGACTAAAGAGAAGAAAACCAGCTATGATTATTATTTGTAATTATTTCATGCTAGTGGACTTTTAAGCAATTTGTGATTTTTTCTCCCTGTGCACATTTTCTCTGATATGAAGCAGCACTGTTCTAAATTCAAATTCACTTGACATGTACAGTTTATAAACAATTCAAAACACTGTATTTGAGTGAGGGACCACTATCTCCCCCTCCCTTCTGTCACACTTCTTCCTGCTATTCCTGTAGCTGAGAGACAGAGGGAGAGAGACAGGAGCTGGGACATGAACACTCCAGGTAGGCTTCAACAATTGGATTAAGTCCCACTGAGAGAATATTGCCTTCAGACAGGCACTTTTACACATATGACTGGAAAGAAGCACAGGGAGAATGAGTGCTAATTTTCACAAAACCCGCAAACCAGTTTCTAATAATAGAGATCCAACTACACATTTTGCTCAGATATTTTGAACTAATTTTACTCTGTTCTAAACTAGCTTTTATTCAACATGGTATTCACACACACACAGCAATTCCTACTTGTGTGTGCTGTTCAGATGCTGATCTTTCAGCAACAGAAACGTATTTCAGATAATGCTATTCACAGCTTAGAAAATGAAAGTTCTGAGAAAATTACAAACTAGACCTGAAACAAATATATAGATGTGTGTCTATGAATATGCATGTATAACAGAAGAGTACATGAGTTCCAAAATGCATTTTATTTGCACATATATATATTCTATATAAAAATATGGAAGATATATTTTATATCTTTAAAAATATATGGAAATACACAAACACTTCCCCCCTTTTTTAAATTCTACATAGGTACTCACTAATCATGAAAAGAAGAGATCTGGTCTTACAAGACACCCAGTTATGGGAGTGCTCTTCAGGATGTGTTTTCAGAAAAAGAAATACATTCATCACGCTTCAGCCAATGGTAATGAGAAAAAGCATGACTGACAGCTGTATGAAACCGACCTGATTTATGCTCACAGACACGGAGAGGTCTTGTGGGTGAAAATAAGGAGATGCACTTACTCTATTAATGCAAAATATGACTTCTGTTTTCTATAGATACGCATGTACGTATGTATTCTTCATGTATTTTGTTTGCAAGTCAGTGTGTAAAGCTACCTGCGTCCTTTATCGGTCTAGCTCCATTGGACACTCCTCAGCTGTCTAGTGCTTTCAGGAAGGCTAACATTCCATGACTACAGCTATACTGAATACATCATCATTACTGTTTTATCTCAGGAAGTGAAGCCTCATCGAAAGAGTCAAGCTTTGCTAATAACGAAGTTCAGTGCTGTGAGGACCTAAACAGTTGTTCAGGAGTATGTCACTCAAAAATGCGAAGGAACTGCCAGAGCCAGAATATTATGCTGTAATGAAGGAATTAAACTGTTGCTATAGATACAATCAAACAAATTTATATTGCAATGTATTCTTATAACCCCCAACAATAATTGAGTACATTAATTTGAGTGCCAAGCTGAATGAAAACTGTAGATCAGAAAAATTGTTTTTACACTATTTCACACTATTTAAGATACATTGATCTAAAATGAGCATGCAACCTTCTGTTTCTTTGCCTGTTAATTTTTTTGCCCTACCCACTGAATCTATTACACATACTCAAGCTGGGCAGTTTTCATTAATTGGGCAGTTCTATTTTTAAACCTCTGATTTCAACTTACTATTCTGTTTATTTTGTAAATCAAACAGATAACTCACATAGTTCTTGTTTATTGTTTACAAAAATAGTTTATACACAATTTTAATTATATGGCTAATGCAACATTTGCAAGTATAAGGCTTATAAAAACCCCACACAAACGGGCAAATAATAATAATACAATCTCTCCACCCCAATAATTTCTCATAAGGCAACATTTATATTGGACCAAAAATCATCTGTAAATTCACAATACCAATAACTGATATGTAGCCCACTCACAAATCTAATTTTAATGTCTTTTAAAGGTAGATACCATCTCATTTAATAGAATTCAAAATTGTTTGGAACTGATCTATTTGGCTTATTTAAATCTTCTCATGTAAAATATCTGCACCCAGGCAAACGCCCCAATCCTCCTTTGCATGAAAGACTGACTGTGGAATCTGCCTACGCATGATTGGTGTGTAAAGCCTTCACCAGCTTTCTGAAAGCAAATTAAACACATATAAAAAGGTGGATTTGGAGTTACTCATTCTTTTTGGAAGGTGAGGAAAAGGAAAATACAAAATCTTCCTATTATTTAAATTTGTATTTAATTATTGAAAAATACAAGCAACAGCACTTCATTGCCTCTAGCAGCTAACAGTACCGTTACACCACTGTGAAGCTGAAATACGTGGTAACTATACCTGCAAAAGCTGGTGGGAATCACAACAGCATACCCAACACATGTTCCTCCCAAGCAGTTTCCCAGCTCATGGAAAAGCCCATGAGCCATGGACTCCAGAGGTAAAACGATGAGAAATACACTCATGAAGATCCCATTGGTTGGCTAAAAAGAGAACAGGGAAATTTAGGTACTGCATGAAAAATCCTTCCTGTCTGTTTTATGAATAAGTCCCTGTGTTCGATCACGTCCTGAAACATGCAAGTTATTATACATAATGTAAACTTATTTTTCCTCATATTACAAGGTGAAGTACTCTAAGGACAAATGAAAGGCTTGGGAAGAAGGTGGCTGATAAGCAGGGATCACTCTTCTGAGAGGAATGTATTTGAAAACACTAACAGCACAGAACTTAGGTTTAGAAGTTCTGATGCCTTAGCTTTACCCGTTTAATCAGGAAAATCAAATGCCATGGAATTATTTAAGTGCATAAAATACATATCTGTAAATATGTGCAGGGTCAAGCCTTAGTAAAGTACAAAACAGAATATTATGTACCTAGCATCAGATGACAGCATACTATCTTGCATGATTAAAAATATAGATTTGACTATTCTTGCTTTTAAATGCCAAGAGTTTTTAAAATATTCTTTGTGTAATACTATGTATCATACAAAATATGACTCTGAGAACATTTACGAACATTATTGCAAATAAAAATACAATTCTGTATCAGCTACATAAATAGCAGATAAGAAGGGACACCCACTAAAGGACTTTGCAGCATTCACACAGCTAATACCCCATATTGAGCTTTCCTGGTTTGTAAGTAAAAAGCAGGTTAGGAAAAGATTACAATCACTGCTACATGGATGTTTTCTGTAAGTAAGAAAAAAAGGCTTCAAAAGTTAAGTCTCAATCACTAGGACTAGTAAAATAAAAATGGACTTCCAAAATGCCAGACGTCAGGGAGAAGTGGAACAAATACAGATTCATTTTAATTATTTTAACATTATGTGAATGGGTTTACTGAGTCAGTAAATGTTTTAGGAAAGGTAGAAACAGTATTATAATTAACCAACATCTTTAATGTTCATGGTGTAGTTCTTAAAGTTTGTTGTATAGCAAGGAAATAAATTTATAGTACAGATTTCTGTCCTGAGAAGACAGCCATGTGACCTCTGACAACATCTGTGTACCTCTTTGCATAAATCTACAATACTAATGTTTTTTTTAAAGTCTGCATATTGCCTTACTGTTTACCAGTGACTTGATGAGGACTGTCAGTTCAGCTTAACACATGGACAAAGTTATGAATAATCTGGAAAGCAAATTATAATGAAAAAAACTACACCTAAACCAACTCAATTCTTGTTAGCACATAGAATCACAGAATAGTTAGGGTTGGAAAGGACCTTAAGATCATATAGTTCCAACCCCCCTGCTGTGGGCAGGGACACCTCACACTAAACCATCTCACCCAAGGCTTCGTCCAACCTGGACTTGAACACTGCCAGGGATGGGGCATTCACAGCTTCCCTGGGCAACCCATTCCAGTGCCTCACCACCATCACAGTAAAGAACTTCTTCCTTACACCCAATCTAAACTTCCCCTGTTTAAGCTTAAACCCGTTACCCCTTGTCCTATCACTACAGTTCCTAATGAAGAGTCCCTCTCCAGCATCCCTGTAGGCCCCCTTCAAATACTGGAAGGCTGCTATGAGGTCTCCACGCAGCCTTCTCTTCTCTAGGCTGAACAGCCCCAACTTTCTCAGCCTATATTCACATGGGAGGTGCTCCAGTCCCCTGATCATCCTCATGGCCCTCCTCTGGACTTGTTCCAACAGTTCCATGTCCTTTTTATGCTGAGGACACCAGAACTGCACACAACACTCCAGGTGAGGTCTCACAAGAGCAGAGTAGAGGGGCAGGATCACCTCCTTCGACCTGCTGGTCACGCTCCTTTTGATGCAGCCCAGGATACGGTTGGCTTTCTGGGCTGCGAGTGCACACTGAAGCCAGCCCATGTTCATTTTCTCATCAACCAACACCCCCAAGTCCTTCTCCGCAGGGCTGCTCTGAATCTCTTCTCTGCCCAACCTGTAGCTGTGCCTGGGATTGCTCTGACCCAGGTGTAGCACTAACTCAACTATATTCAGTTTTTAAAAACAGGAATGCAACACGACACAGCCTGAAAGAACAAGCTTTATCCACCTAATGTGCTTTCTACCCTAAGGAAGAGGACTATTAAAACCTGTCCTGGTTTTAAAAAGTGTCCCATTATACTTCTGATGGACGGATCTCACCTATATGTCCTTGAAAGGGTAACAGAAATATTTCTAACCACAAATAAACACCAGAATCTGATATTAACTGATAACTAACTGATAGCATTATTAACTGACAGCACTATTCTCAAGTAATTGTTTACTGGTAGCATTATTCTCAAATTCCAGCATCTGAAACCACTCTTAAACTATAACCAGCTCCTACTATGCTTTATACAGTTCACGACAAATGAAAAGCCTACTTATTTGGCTTCCAGCTCTCAAAGACATGAGGACATGACGTTGAGCAGACACCAAATCATGTTACAGAACAGCCACAGAGGGCTCCCCTTTACACAGGGCCCTGCACTCCTCATCACAGAAGTGCAGTTAATATGCTCATTGACTCTCTAACATTCAAGCTACAAAACTGGTACAGATACAACCAGTTCATCAACTCCTGATAACACAAGAATTAATAACACTGCAATCCAGTTTCATGGTGTATAAAGTAATTTTATGTTTTGGTGCTAGTAATTTGAATCTACAAGGAGCAACCAAGTGCCAGTGAAGCACACATACATTATGGGAGATACACAATCACTTTTCTGTATATAATTTTCTTAGCCATCTCAGGAGGTACCTTGCATCCTCCCAGATACAATCCCTTCCCCATCCCAGCTTTGCTTAGACTCAGTGCAGAGAAGCATTCACATAATTATTCTCAAGTTTTGTGTCAGAAAATAAAGATTTTCAGAATAATTTCCCCCAAATCTATACAATTACCTGACATGAGCAGAAGACAGGAAAGCTTAAAATACTGTGAAAATTATGGTGCAACCTCAACTTCTTTTGTTGTCAAGAAGCAGAAAAAAGTCTTGCAACTAAGACAATACAATTTTTGTTTCAAATGTATCATCAGGAACTGCTCTTTTTTGTTGGTCAGTTTCCCAAATGCACTCTGAAACTGAAAAGGACTCGGAGCAGCAGCAATAAGAAGTTACAAAGATTTGGCTAGTTTTCATTCTATAGAATCCTTGTGAAATATAAGACTTTGAGGAGACAGTGGAACTCTCTAGCTAAATTAGTTTCAAGGTTTGGAGAGTTACTTTTGCAACTCGGTAGGTACCAGAAGGATCATTTGCTTTAAGTTACAAAAAAAGAGGAAGATTTGGGTCCTGCAGAAATCGAAGGCTTTGTCTAGAAGAGCTTCCTAGTCATGATCAGTTAGTTAGAGGATTTTCTGACCTTTGGAAAGCCTGAATGCATGGAACGGGAAATACTACAATGCATTTTAATGACAAATTCAGCCTTTCCATCATACATAAATATGATATATATAAGTATGACTTTTCTTGGCTCAAACTGCTCTTACACTGCATTAGGGCTATAACCACAGTGAGCATATTACAAAATAAAAACCACATTTGCCCACAAAAGCTACAGCAATCACAAAATCCTGAAGAATACTGCTATATTATTACTTTATATGGATTTTATTGTGGAAGTTTTCTTATAAGATGCCATGTTGTTCTAAGCACTCCCTGCATTTCCCCAATCCCCAAAACACATGAAAGTTATTAAGCCCACTGTGTTCTGCAATAACACAATTTAAGATTATCACAAAGATTAACAGTTTTCACCAAACTTCTGACTACTAAATAAAAATCTACATTTCACTGTTGAAAATACTCCAACTAATATGAAGGTAGTGGCAAGAAAATTCACAAGTACTTGTGAATCCTACACAGAACTGTAAGGATCATGTCAGTGATCCATCTTGCTCTGCATCTTGCTTTGAGTTTGTACCAAATACTGAACAGGCATGGGAAATATGCTCTATAGTGTTAAGACTCAGCTTGGCTCCATCTGAAGTTTCATCATTTAATGGCCATCTTACGCTATGGAGTAAGAGAATGTTGTTCATATGGATATTTTATATTTAAAGACATCTATCTAATGTTAAGATGCTGGCACCTGTTGTCAGGACTTTTTCAACAGTTTTAATTTGGAAGAAATATATCACCAACAAATATAAAAATGATTAGTGATGTTTAGAGCAGCTCCACAGTAAATAATAAAATATTTTAGCTCAGTGCTGCAAAAATGGCATTTTAAAATACCTAAACTATGAGAACTTGAAATACCAAAAATAGTAGCTAAATAAGTTAGTAGTTGCAGTAAATCTGAAGATAGGTTCCTCTTTTAAGGTATCAGCTAAGATGCCAGGTGGAGATTGTCAGTGTTTTACTTAATCCAGAAGATTTGATGACTGCTCCTTAATGGAGCAGATGGCCATGGATGCATAGGCGAAGCCAGAAAGGGATTTTGTTCTTTCATCTGTTCAACCCATTTTCATTCTGTTTTTGACTGCACTGGCAATCACAGCCTGCAATACATCCCTGTACTCCAAGTGCTCACTGATTCCACAAAGACTGCTCAAAAAGCAAACAGAAGACAGGGACCATCTCAGCAATCCCACTGAAAACATGAAATATCATCTTATCTCTTAGTCTTTGCTGATTTTTTTTCCTTTGCCTGTCTTCTTCTGAATGAATATTTAGGAAATACTCTGTACAAAATGATGTACAAGAAGTGAAAAAAACCCCACACTTCTTGCCTCTGATGATGGAAATGAGAGACAATAAAAGATCGTCAAGATTCATTGGTGGCATTATCTTTCCGCTTTCTTTAGTGTTTCAAGCAATGCTTATTGTTGAGTGTAACTGTTAAAACACCAGAAGAATTTAGGAGTATTTTACAGCCAAGATACTAATTTTATAATTCATGGAAAGGACAACTCCAGTCCCAAAGAGTAAACCACTGCTGGAAGTGGAACAATTCTGGAACTGTATTTAACAATGGAGCATAAGTGACATGTGACTGACAAAAATAACA